TATATAAATTTTTCTTTAATACTTATAATTCACATTGAATTAAAAATCCAGCTTAGACCATTGTAGACATTTAATTTCTATTAATTGTGTTCTCACATCACATGTACAGTTTAAAATAAGATTTATCAAATTATATTAGAAAAAAGTTATAGCAATGTGTGAAAAATCGCATAGGATACATTGTATCTTAGGATGGCGAGCTAGGGTTAAGATATATCATTTGTGTATTTATATTTTGTCAAAAGTATTGTTAGTAGAATAATCAAGTTGCTTACTATCGATAATTAGAAATATATTGCGATATCTATAGTAATAAGAATACAAGTAGAAATTTTTGTCTGCACTTCCTGACGACTTGAAATCTTAATGCTTCTTTCATTACATTTGTGAGAAACTTGTGACAGATAGTAACAATCTGTTATTAAAATTAGTTCTCATGTTAAAATTGTTATAGGTTATGACACGATATATATCAAATCCAGATAATTTAAAATTGATGATGAACATGCTGAAGGAAAAGTCTCGCAATATACAGTTTGAGGCTTTTCATGTTTTCAAGGTATGGTAACGCTCAATATTAACTTGAATTTTCAATTCGCAATTAATATTAAATTCGTATGTTTAATTTTTCAATACTTGATACATTGCAGTATAAAATTCATTTTTTTCTCAAGTTTAAGTAGTCATTAAAAAATACGTAAAAATTGATTTTACGTAGATTTTACGAAAAAGAGTAAATTAAAACGAATTTCATTCCTTCGAAACCAAAACGTATGATTATTTGAGTTATACAAGTATAAATTATTAACACTAATGTCGTTAAACTAAATAAAAATAACTAATTTTATTAAGTCTGCGCATTGAGTTCTGTGCAGACTCCTACGGCCCTATTGTTTTTATTCATCCCTTCTGATTGTGTCTAGGTATTTGTGGCGAATCCCAACAAACCAAAACCTATTCTAGACATATTGCTCCGCAATCAGGAGAAGCTGATAGAGTTCCTGACGCGCTTCCACACGGATCGTTCTGAAGACGAGCAGTTCAACGATGAGAAGGCGTATCTGATTAAGCAGATCAAAGAACTTAAGTCTGTACATGATAATTAAGTCAAGGAAATACAATTATTGCTACCGCTACGACTAACTACCATCATTGAGTGTTTTCCAGCAATGTTTACACAGTGACACTGTGTAACACAGGGTGCGCTTTCATGCTTTTCAATTGTGACACAAACGTACAACTAAGATACTGTGTTCGACTGTGTCAATTTATATCACTTCATTTAAATATCAAATTTTTGTATTTCATTACTATTTAGTTTCCTAGGAGTAATATTTCAATAAGAGGTGTTGTACTAAGTTTAAGATTATATTCGGACGTAGGTGATATGAAACTTTTTTCTTTATTTCATTCTGGTGGTGAAATAAAAAAGCTAAGCAATGGCTGCGTTCAGCAGAGAAAATTAATCAGTTTTAGCGCTGAATGATTTTTTAATATGATTGGTTCTTGTTTTAGTTTTTCGCTGAATCTAAGTGTAGAAATCAATCATATTAAAGAATCACTAAGCACTGATTAGTTTCCTCTGTTGAACGAAACCAATGTTTCAGTTATAACTCGACACTCTGTATTACTATGTCATACAGTGTATAATTGTGTTTCATTGCTAGAAAGCACTCATTACTAGAATCTACTGCTGCTGTTGCTAATTACGGTTTTATCACCATTATATAATTATAATTCTTCATCATCATCA